TTTTCCAGCTAAATTTGCCATGCTGAGTGCTTCCTATTCTGTCTCAACAGGTTAAAGATAAACTGTATCGTTCCTCCTGAGGTTTGCCTTACTTCTGGACTGGCTCTCCAGAGTTAAGCTTGCTGCATTGCAAACTGTATATACTGTGATTTTCTGATCAGAAGTCTCAGTTTATGTAATGACTCAAACTTGCAGTCCAAACAGATAGGCTAGATATTTGTTTTGTTTTCTCAGCACACTGACATTACTGGGGCATAGCAGTGATGTGGAGGAACTATTTTGAGCATTGGTATGCAAATTAATACACTAGGCAATTAGAGGCAATTAAAACAGGATCTAGTGTAATTAGAAACGATGTTGTCCTTGTTTTATTCAGAGAAGTTTGACATGTTGGAGAAAAGAAAAGAAAAAGTACAGGAAGCTTGCAATGCTTTTTGAGATGTACCCAGTAATAATAACAGCAACAAAGCTCCATAATGACGGTACAAGTTAACATAAGGTTCCAGGTCATTAAGTGGGGAATCAAAGGGCAGAAGTTGTATTTAAGGATGGGGATAGTACAACACTGAATGTTAATGCGTAGTATGCGTGACTCAAATTTAATGTATTGTAAATGGGAGCCAATGCACCCAAAATATTACCAGGATATCCTGCAGTGCAGACTAATCTAAATGTACTGTTTAATTGATACTGCAAGTCCAAACCTTTGATCCATTCTACCATCCCCATGCAAGGCTGGAGAGCAGTTACATGGGTGATCATACATTTCACTCCCAGGAAAAATTCCCTACATTTCCACAAAACCACCCAGCCTTTGGAGTGGCTCTTGAGGCATCTCCTCTCACGGAGTCAATCCAACTCCTTGGTCCTCTATAGAGCTAGTGATGATGAAACACATGATTGCGACTAGAGCAACATTTGCAGAAAGCTCAGAATGAATCAGGCTGAACACAGGTTGGGGCCTATTTGAAGATCTGTTTTGCGGCAGTGTAGGGAGCAAAATTATTTTCCCCCACCCCACCCCATCTCCATTGCATCAGCAAGGAATTGGTCAACTTGGGGGAGTGGGACAGGGGAAGTGTGTCCCTGTAAGGTTCTGCTGGACATTTCGGAAGCTTTCAAAAGCATAGACCATGGTATCCTTCTGGACTGCCTTGCTGGGGTGGGACTTGGGATGATACAGTGGCTCTGTTTCTCCTTGGAGGGGTGAACTCAGAAGATGGTGCTGGGGACTTCTGTTTAATGCCTTTGCTGTTGACCTGTATGGTCCCTCAGAGTTCTTTTCTGTTCCCCATGCTATTTAACATTTACATGAAACTGCTGGGAGTTGTCTGAAGTTTCCGGGTTTAGTGTCACCAGTATGCTGAGAACACCCAGCTCTGTTTCTCCTTTCCACCTAAATCCATGGAAGCTCTTCTCAATTCTAAACTGCTGTCTGACATCAGTAATGGACTGGATGAGGGTGAACAAATGGCAAGACAGAGGTGCTCTTGGTCAGTCAGAAGGTAAAACAGGGAAGAGGGATTCAACCTGTGCTGCATGGGGCAACACTCCTCGTGAAGACACTGGTCCACAGTTTGGGCCTGCTCCTGGGTTCAGCCCTGAGCAAGGATGCCCAAGTCTCTGCAGTGGCCAGGAGTACATTTGCACAGTTAAAGTGTGCCTTCCACCAGCAGGTAAAGGCCTTCTCATTCCAACCAGCTTTTGGGAATTTCAATGAAAGGGCTGGTGTGGTGCTGTTTTTATTATATTATTGTTATGTTTTTAATTTTTTATATTTCTATATAGTTATAATTCAATTATATTTTTTAAAAAAAATTCTCTGTATGTTTTTAAGCTGTTCGTATTTTATATGTAAGCCACTTACAGTCCCTGTCAGGGAAAAAGGTGGGGTATAAATATAATACTAATAATAATTTAAGGATGCATGAATGTGCTGCCAGAAGACAGGGTGCATAAAGACTCTTCCATATTTAACATTCTAAGTTTACAACACTTCAGTGAAAGTCCTTTGTTTATACATTTGCTTCTGTTTATATAAATGCAGCTTTATTTGCAGTCTAAATTTAGCCTTGAGCTTTCTTGTGTTTGATTTATGGATGATTAGAAGAAAAAATCAGTGCAAATATATACAACTTGCAATCATTTTGCTTGGGATACCACAGTTAATGCAACTGTGGAAATGGCTTGACCTTTTGTTTTGGATAGTTTATGAAGGATGCAGATGGGATTTTTGGAGCTGCGAGATCAACCACTGGTATACTCCTCCACCCTTGCCCTTCCTGGCTGATAAGAGCAGCCAAAGGAAGAATCATCAAGTGGGTAATGAGGGTGGCAAATTTTATAAGGCTGGAGGTACCCTACAACTGTCTTACTGTTTTACTTTCCTGGCTTTGGGGATTTCTTTATCCAATGAACTCAATATTGTAGAGTCAACATAACTGAGTTGCAAGTTTAACAATTTTTTAAAAATTGAAACTGTGCACACAGACATACACAGCTTCAAAGAAAGCAAATAGTTTCTTACACTTCCAAAGACATGTCAGTCTACTTGTGGAAGTGGCCCATCAGCACAGTCCAACAGAGTTACCTAACAGCAATGCAACATAATGGGCCACCAGAGTCCAAGCTAAAATTCCATCCCAAGCTTAACTTCCCAACTTCTTTTATACGGCTTTTGGGTTTCCATATATGGTAACGATGGGCATGCCAGTATTCTCATTGGTGTCTATATATTCTGGACACATGCAGAATGCCTTCTCAATTTGAATCATAATTCTTACTTCCCTGTTCCCTAACATTTTCCTCTGTTTTCCCATTTCTAGACAAGAACGTATTGCCTAATCTTTTACTCTTCATCGGTACATATAGACTCCTGTTTGGTTCTGGATGTCTAACTGTACCCTGATCTAACCATATTTCCTGCTGAAACCTGTGCCCATCAACTTCCTATATAAAATTTTGCCCAGGCATAAATGCATCCATGTCAAAAATGATTTTTGCTTTTCTGTAATCACTTTTAGCTATTTTTCTGAGTTAAATCTTAGGTTAACTCTTTCTACTTATACCTTATTGAAGTATGATTGATACATATATGTGCATGATATTTTAGCCCTACGGTAATGGTGCCTCATCTTGAATTTTCTAAATAAGGATTAGTTGGTTCCATCTTAATCTGGGCCTGATTATGTAATGGGCTTGGTTGCTGTAGTGAAATTTATATGCCAAAAACTGGACAGGGAGAAATGTGTCCCTATAAATTCAACTGGTTCTTCCAGTAGCTTTTGATACCATTGACTACCATATTCGTCTGGACCATAGATTAGACTGGGATGCACAGCTTCAATCTGGCTCCAGTCCTTCTTGGAGGGGCAGTTTCTAGCAGTGGTTGTGAGGGTCTCTTAGGTAAATTAGAATACCCCTGCTGAACAAGCCAAAGGCCCATCTAGTCAAGCATCCTCTTCTTGCAGACAACTAACTGCCTAAATGAAACCTGGGTGCCACAGCATTCTCCACACTTTTGATTTTGATTTACAGCAATGGTTATTCAGAGGCATGTTTGGGTCTGTGGTGTTTCTCAGGGTCCATCCTGTCCCCACAAGATGTTTAACATCTACCAGAAACTATGGGGGGAAACCAGCCATGGATATGGAGTGCCGTAGCACCAATATGTTGATAAAATTCAGCTCTGCTTCTCCTTTCCATCGCATTTTAGGGTGGCTTTTGAGCAGCTAAGCTGATGTTTGAACTTAGTAATGGACTAGATTGGTGGTTCCCAACTAGCTCAGTACTATGGGCCCCCTATTTTTCAAAAGCCAAGGCATGGTCCCCCTACTTTTGAAAATTTTGGTATCTCTGTGGTAGTTTTTGTTATGTGAATGTTGCCACAGACCCCTGGGTGGGTTATGCAAACCCTTTGGGGTTCACGGACCTGCAGTTGGGAACCTCTGGACTAGATGGAGGCAAATGCCTGTCTTTCCAGGCAGGACAAAGTTGATGTTGATGAGTAGAATTGATCTGAAAATTGGAGTTCAGCCTATTTTGGGTGGGTACTATTTCCCTTGAAACTTTTGGTTCAGAGTCTGATAATACTCCTGAATCTATCTGTGGACCTGATGTCCAACTTAACTACCTTCTCGGTTGCTACACCAAGGCTTTGGAACTTCCTCCCCTTAGATCAGCCTTTGTCAACACAATGTCTTCCAGATGTTTTGGCCTACACCTCCCATCAGCTTGAGTCAGCTGGGACTGATGAAAATTGTGCTCCAGACATCTGGAGGGTACCAGGTTGACAAAGGCCTGCCAAGGCCAATTTTGGGATAGTGGTAGTTCATGCTTTGGGTATAGAAGGTTTCAGTTTAATACCCAGCATCTCCAGGGCAGAGTATGAATAAGTTTTGTCTGAAACCCTGGAGAGCTGCTGCCAGTCAGCTCAATACTGAGCTGGATATATCAATCGTCTGACAGTATAAGACAGCTTCATTGATTTGAACCAAGCTCTCCAGATCCAGCTCCCTGGCAACTAAAGTCTAGCTACAAGCCTTCCATTTCCCAGAGAGCGCAGTGGGTCAGTGCATCTGGCTGTTAACCGAAGGTTGGTGGTTCAACCAACCAGGGATGACTGTGGGCAGAATTCCTGCACTAGATGGGTTGGACTAGATGAACTTCAGGGTCCCTTCCAACTCTACAATTCTATGATTCTATTATATACTGAATCATCATGAACATAAGAAAATTACATAAGAAGAACCCTGCTAGATCAGACTATAGGCCTATCTAGTCCAACACGTTTCCACAGGGCCAACCAGCAGCCTATGGGAAGTCCACAAGCAGGACATATAGGCAATATACCCCGCGTGCTGTTGATCTCCTGATAGACATCTGGATTAGTAAGCATACATAATATTATCCTCCATTTATGAACTGCAGCTGGGTACATTATTTTACATGTAACTTTTTGTTGCTAAAATAACGTGTTTTCTCCCACTTGTTCTTCATAGGTTGTATATGTAACAGCTACGTTCCCTTACATCATGCTCTTGGTACTGCTGGTTCGAGGAGTAACACTACCTGGGGCATCTGAAGGGATAAAATTCTACTTGTACCCTGACCTATCGCGACTTTCTGACCCACAGGTAGGAGATAATAAAATGTAAACATTCAGTGCATTGTTGTTTTCCATCATGTCCCCAAACTTTTGTCTTCTGTGTTTTTATTTCAGGTTGAAACAAGGGGTGAATCCCTATAGTTTCAACTAGATGTTAAGTAAGCAAAGCCAGTTTGGAAACATTTGTGCTGTGTTTAACTTAATTGTACCTAGAGATGTAAAAATTTCAGGAATTTTGAAACCATGAAAAGAATACCATTTCCTTTATTTTTTTCCGGGGAGAGGGGTGGATTTGGGAGAGAAGTTTGGAATATATGCAATACATACTCTGTTATCAAAGCAACACTTGTTTTACTGCTTCAATGCCATAAAATGTATCATTCAACTTAATTAGCATATCAGATTGTACTGCTTGGCATATTAATGAAATTTACAGAGAAATCCTATGTATATTTTCTTAAAAGCAAGACTCATTTTATATCTGGAACAACTGTTGTCGTATTATATTTCTTTACTTTTTCAAGCAAATTGGTTTAAATCTTGGGTGGCTACTCCATGGCCCCATCAGTAGCTGCAGCATTATCTCCCATCAGCCCCTGTCAGCATAGCCAATGTTCAGGGATGATGGAGGTCCAACAGCAGCTGGATGGAAGGCCACAGGTTTCCTACTCCTGCAATAGAGATGTGCTGCTTGACAGCAGGGTTGTTGTGGGCACGATCCAATATGCATCTGATAGTCAAGCAACCACATTAGTTAAACCACTCTAAATGTCAATAGTTTCCCTATTTAGGAAAAGAATCACACTCACACGCCATACTAAAATTAGTATGTGACAAATGGAAGCATCCACACCACCTTTATTTCAATGCAGAACAAGTTTAGAGACACTTTACTTCAGGCATGGGCAAACTCCGGCCCAGCAGATGTTTGGGACTACAATTCCCATCATCCCTAGCTAACAGGACCAGTGGTCAGGGATGATGGGAGTTGTAGTCCAAAACGTCTGGAGGCCTGGAGTTTGCCTGTGCCTGCTTTACTTGTTAATAAGTCCTGGGTAGCTCTTTCACTCTATTTTATCTAGATCTGGGCAAAACAACAACAAGAAGACTTGTGATGTTTGTGGGTGGTTGAGTGGGGGAACTGTGTTAGCACTCCCATCTTGATTATAGGCATAGCTGTCAACTTTACCCTTTTCTTGCGAGGAATCCTATTCGGAATAAGGGAATTTCCCTTAAAAGAAGGGAAACGTTGACAGCTATGATTATAGGCAGCCAGAGTCCAGTAAGTAATTGCAAGTACTTCATATTGTAGTCTCAGTGAATGTTTAGGCACAGTGGGTGAGGTTAGAATCTGTAGCAAGACAAAAAGTTAATCAACTCCAGCATTCAGAATAAAAGAGCAGACCTATTTAAAACGGTATAAAACAATGGAGAGAAAATACAAAGCTGTGATTTGAAAACAGCAACCTAACTATATAATTTCTAGGGCAGGCTTAACAAAGTAACTTCAGTTGTCATGAAAAACAGCTTGTGTCGTCCCAGGCAATTTGTAGCAGGCATTCCAAAAAGTGATAGAACCATTGTTGGGAAATGGCACTTTTTATCTGTTGATATTCAGGTGAGGGGCTTGATTGTGTGGACACAAGGATCCACTCAGATTGGATTCTGGCTGGGTCAGATTCTGCACAAAAGCACAGAGGGCAATACCTAACATACTGTTTAAAGCCCCTGGAAGAGGCTTTAATTGGTGTAAACCTGAGGACACGTTTCTAATTTGGATTTGGCAAAGTACATCCTTTGTACTTTGTGGATGCTTGCTTTTGAAATCATGGAGATAGGACTCTTTGGGCAGAAAAGCAGCATTCTGAAAAGAAAGGGGTGCTGGGCTTTGGGTTTTAGTTACAAAGCACTTGCTTATTAGACGATTCTGGATTCCATTCAACAACTGAGCATTTGGTATACTTTCCACCACTTGTCAGAAAAGGACTTAAAAGGGAGCCGGGAAATGAAGGCCATTGAAAGTGATTTATTTTATCAAGGCCGATGTCTTAAGAACTGTAAGACTTTATCAAACATAAAGTTTATGGTGGAATTAGATGGAGTCAAATAAATAATAGAGGTGTTTGTCAGTCTTCATTTCATAAAGTAGCTGCCTGAGTCTAGTGGCAACTCCTCTTTCGAAAGGTTTTGGGAGGAATGGTGGTGTAATTGGATTTGTATGGAATTGGTGAATAATTTAATGCTATTTCCCCCCTTTTTCTCTGTGATTGGGTCCTAAATTTGTTTCTGTTGTATTGTTTTCTGTTGTTATTTATGTAAACCATCCTAGGGCTTCCTGGCAAAGGGAGGTATAGACAACTCTGAAATAAACAATTAATAAAATAAACAGTGAACATCTCAGCAAAAGTACATTTTAAGGTAATATAGCAATTCCCCCAAACCTTTCCTCTAGCACTTCTGAAGTTGTTAAAATGTACAAATTTCATTTGGCAAACTCTTGCTAGATACGATCCTGTGTTTTAAGTATTTGTATGAATCATTCTCTTGTTCAAGCAGTCAGAACTTTTGAAAAGCAGGACTTTTTTCAAATCCCCTTTGCATGTCTCACTATTTCTCTTCTTCCGCACTTTCCCATTCAATAAGATGTTGCTGAAATTCTGATATAGGACCTTGAAAAGGAGGGTTGCATTTGAAATCTTTATCACAATTTTTGTTTACTTTTAAAGTCAGCATCACACCTACATTTAAGCTTAGGCTAATTACATTAGTAACTTTATTTTGCCAAATTATGCATTTTAGCAGTTTCAGAAGCACTAGGGTAGAAGCTTTGGGAAATGCTATTTTTGTTTTTATTTTGGGGTATACAGGAGGGCTGTCAGTTTTAATTGGTTTCAGTGTTAGATTAATCAACTCAAGCTTTCATTTATTAATTGATGGAGGTCTGTTTTAATTGGTGAGGGCAATTTTTAATTGGTTGGGCTATGAGTAAAGGGCATCCTTGGATTTTTGAGGCTATTTTTTTACTGTGTTGGAAAAGAAACTATTCAAGATTGCCATTCTTCAAAGAATGAGGAGGTAGCTTTTGTGAGTTACCTTACAGTTATTCCAGTGTCTCAAAGACATCATTCTATTGAGATTTTGGTCATATGGGTTTTTATTTAAATATAATTTGTTGTTCAATTAATTGGTTAAAAGGCACATGCTATACAAACTAAACATGGTTTAATTGGTTGACAGTCTTGTGTGGACCATTTTTTTGTTAGAGTTTTATGGACAGATGGTGCTTTTGCTTTTCTACTTTTACTGTCATTAGTGCTATGGTCATTTCTTGTTAACAGCCTTGAACCTTTTGAGGAAAGGTGAAACAGATTTAAAAAACAACAATGCAAAACAGTAAAAAGTTTTTTCAGAGTCCAAACAACATTTCACAGTGACCCAAACAAGCTTATGCTGCCCTCATATTATATACCATTTCAGAGACATAAACTTGTTAAGAAAGGGGGGGGGGGGTTAAATGACATGGAGTCAACTTTTCATGAGGGTTGCTATATAGTCAAGACAGTAAATTAACTAATGCATTTCTGTACCATACTAGAAAGCATTCAGTTTTTGGATATCAGATTGCCACAACTTCCACCATTACAGTCACCAGCAAGATTATAAGGCTATATACACTTCACTGAAATAAAATTAATATGGTTTGCATGTACTTTTTTTTATAAAAAGTACAAAAATTGGAATCTCTGGACTTTCATATTTCTTTCCTGTTTACAACCTGAGACAATTCTACATAATTATTCTCAATTTGTAACAGAATCCTACCTGCACCCTACCTGCACTTTAATCCTTGCTATGATTGCATATTCCGTCCTTGCTGGCACAGAGATGTGAACGCACTGGATCAAAAGGTTCCCTTCTATAAATGAAAGAAGGGCCCTTTCCATGAACAGAAGGGAAATGGATCCTTTGGAAGCTTTGGTTTACAGAAGTGTGGGGAATGGTTTTCACTTATTTCTTTTGCTGCTAGAGTTACACCCCCACACACACACACCCACACACCTAGGCCATTTCTCATACGGTTCTAGAGGTTCCCCAACACTCTGAAGCAGATATTCAAGGGACACAGGTAGGGAAGTATGAAATCAGTAGTGTCCATTGTGTCGCTTGTTCATTGTAAAGCAAGCTGGTTTTGTTCCGCTGCCATTTCCATCCATTACATAGCTATCCATCCTGCTGTTCGCTCTGGTATGTCTGCATCATTTTATTGTGAAATATAGCTGTATTACACTATAATTTACAGTTCAGTTGCCTTCCCAGTATATTCCCTTTCAAAGTTTAGTGAATTTCCAGAGAGGCAAACACAACCAAGAGCCCTGTGGCATCACTCATCACAAAGCCATCTATGGCTACAAACCTAACCATGTCTATTCAGAAGCAAGTCCCATTGAGGTCAGAGAAGCTTACTTCCAGATGGGTGGGGTTAGGATTGAAGCCACTCTCATTACCTTGATTTCACAATTCAGTATAAATCTGTCATCCTATCTCATTTCCCTTGATCAGGCATCAGGGAGGGACAGTTTCATTATAAGGCAATATAACTGTAGCAGGGGGTTGGAGAAATAAAGAAATTTTAAACTTAAGTTTACTTTTAAAATACATAATTGGTGTGGTAAAGGTAAAGGTACCCTTGACCGTTAGGTCCAGTCACGGACAACTCTGAGATTGCGGTGCTCATCTCGCTTTACTGGCCGAGGGAGCCAGCGTACAGCTTCTGGGTCATGCGGCCAGCATGACTAAGCCGCTTCTGGCGAACCAGAGCAGCGCACGGAAACGCCGTTTACCTTCCCGCTGGAGCGATACCTATTTATCTACTTGCACGTTGTGCTTTCGAACTGCTAGGTGGGCAGGAGCTGGGACCGAGCAACGGGAGCTCACCCCATTGTGGGGATTCGAGGCTCTGTGGTTTATCCCACAGCGCCACCTACTGGTGTGGTAAAAATGGTTAAATCCAGACAGTTCTCCCCACTT